GATAGAAACCAAAAATGCTTTAAATTTCATTTTAAAACATATCTAGGTATTATAAATGATAAAGAATGCTAATATAGACAAAAAATCGATATTTTTTGAAAATAGCCTACTATGATCGAAATCAAAAATGCTTTATATTGCATTTTAAAACATATCTAGGTATTATAAATGATAAAGAATGCTAATATAGACAAAAAATCGATATTTTGAAAATAGCCTACTATGATAGAAACCAAAAATGCTTTATATTGCATTTTAAAACATATCTAGGTATTATAAATGATAAAGAATCCTAAATGATAAAATAGCCTCCTATGATAGAAACCAAAAATGCTTTAAATTTCATTTTAAAACATATCTAGGTATTATAAATGATAAAGAATGCTAATATAGACAAAAAATCGATATTTTTTGAAAATAGCCTACTATGATAGAAATCAAAAATGCTTAATATTGCATTTTAAAACATAAATAGGTATTATAAATGATAAAGAATGCTAATATAGACAAAAAATCGATATTTTTTGAAAATAGCCTACTATGATAGAAACCAAAAATGCTTTAAATTTCATTTTAAAACATATCTAGGTATTATAAATGATAAAGAATGCTAATATAGACAAAAAATCGATATTTTTTGAAAATAGCCTACTATGATCGAAATCAAAAATGCTTTATATTGCATTTTAAAACATATCTAGGTATTATAAATGATAAAGAATGCTAATATAGACAAAAAATCGATATTTTGAAAATAGCCTACTATGATAGAAACCAAAAATGCTTTATATTGCATTTTAAAACATATCTAGGTATTATAAATGATAAAGAATCCTAAATGATAAAATAGCCTCCTATGATAGAAACCAAAAATGCTTTAAATTTCATTTTAAAACATATCTAGGTATTATAAATGATAAAGAATGCTAATATAGACAAAAAATCGATATTTTTTGAAAATAGCCTACTATGATAGAAATCAAAAATGCTTAATATTGCATTTTAAAACATAAATAGGTATTATAAATGATAAAGAATGCTAATATAGACAAAAAATCGATATTTTTTGAAAATAGCCTACTATGATCGAAATCAAAAATGCTTTATATTGCATTTTAAAACATATCTAGGTATTATAAATGATAAAGAATGCTAATATAGACAAAAAATCGATATTTTGAAAATAGCCTACTATGATAGAAACCAAAAATGCTTTAAATTTCATTTTAAAACATATCTAGGTATTATAAATGATAAAGAATGCTAATATAGACAAAAAATCGATATTTTTTGAAAATAGCCTACTATGATAGAAACCAAAAATGCTTTATATTGCATTTTAAAACATAAATAGGTATTATAAATGATAAAGAATGCTAGTATAGACAAATTAAAAAAACTTTTTAAAAAACACGCTTTTATCAAAAAGACTAAAAACCAAAAAGATGAAAATAAAATAAGATCACACTTTTAGCGAATCAGGATTTTAAAAGTTTTCTTGTGACATCTAGAAATGCAACATAAATTTTTTTCAAAAAATTGTGATTAAATCCAAGAACACAATGACTCTAAAAGCGTGGGGCTTTAAGATTTGACGCTTCTCTTACTTAAGAACTTAGTTGAACTAAGAAATTCATCCTTAAATTACGCCCCACGCTTTTAGAGTCATTGTGTTCTTGGACTTAATCACAATTTTTTGAAAAAAATTTATGTTCCATTTCTAGATGTCACAAGAAAACTTTTAAAATCCTGATTCGCTAAAAGTGTGATCTTATTTTATTTTCATCTTTTTGGTTTTTAGTCTTTTTGATAAAAGCGTGTTTTTTAAAAAGTTTTTTTAACATTTTTTTTTATTTGCTACTTTTTAGTCTCAATCTTTTAATCGAATATCGACCACAACAATTCAAATTCAACTCCACTTCGTTTTACTCCGTTTTGTTCAACTGTTTATAGATTACATTTGTTCATTCATTTGTTTTATAGAATTTAAGTCATACCTGGAAACAAATGAAACTTCTTAAAAAATATCCTGAACTTCAATTATGTGCGCTTTCTGTGCTTTTAAAGCATTCATTAGTAAAGGACATTAAAAATGAATCTTGGAGATTTTGTGTTTATCTGTACGATTCCTACTACATAACGTGTGGATTATTAACATAAAGATGCAACTCACATCTATATGTAACGTATTTATAACGGATTTTTCAAATTTAATTCAATGAATGTCATTTGTATGTTATGCAAATATACTTCAAGCCGTTAATAAATAGAAAAGTAAATTTAATTAAGTTGGTGAAGTTTTATAAATAATGTAATACATTAAAAACAGCATAAATTTATGCTCAAACTATGTGTGCTAAATGCACATCGCATATTGATAGTTATTTTGCATTAATTCGTAACGGACTTGTGCTTAACGGTTTTTTTGAAAATTCAAATTTTCACTTACAAATATTCATGAAAAAATTACATGTCAATTTTTTTTTCTTACCAGAATATCTTTAGCTGCTCAAATTTATAGTATAATTAATATTTAGTAATATTAATTAAACTATAATGAATCATATAAATGACTTTTGAGCATTTCAAGTATAATATTTTAAACAAATCAAAATTTTATATCATTGACATTGGATTGTTTTCCCATATAAAAAAGTTTTACTTAAATTGTACTATTATTAAGCATTTTTGTGGTTTCAAAGTGTTAAAATATTGTATTGTCACCGGGAATACGTGTGAATAAAAAATTTGAGCTCGATTGGAGCAGCAGAAGTGGTCGAAAAATCGATTGCAAGTTTTGAACGTGACAAAGAAACCAACAGACAGAGCAACTCAATAAAAAGCGTGTAATAATAAAAATCGATATTTTTTTGAAAAAAGCCTACTATGATAGAAACCAAAAATGCTTTAAATTTCATTTTAAAACATATCTAGGTATTATAAATGATAAAGAATGCTAGTATAGACAAAAAATCGATATTTTTTTGAAAAAAGCCTACTATGATAGAAACCAAAAATGCTTTAAATTTCATTTTAAAACATATCTAGGTATTATAAATGATAAAGAATGCTAATATAGACAAAAAATCGATATTTTTTGAAAAAAGCCTACTATGATAGAAACCAAAAATGCTTTATATTGCATTTTAAAACATAAATAGGTATTATAAATGATAAAGAATGCTAATATAGACAAAAAATCGATATTTTTTGAAAATAGCCTACTATGATAGAAACCAAAAATGCTTTATATTGCATTTTAAAACATAAATAGGTATTATAAATGATAAAGAATGCTAATATAGACAAAAAATCGATATTTTTTCAAAATAGCCTACTATGATAGAAACCAAAAATGCTTTAAATTTCATTTTAAAACATATCTAGGTATTATAAATGATAAAGAATGCTAATATAGACAAAAAATCGATATTTTTTGAAAAAAGCCTACTATGATAGAAACCAAAAATGCTTTATATTGCATTTTAAAACATAAATAGGTATTATAAATGATAAAGAATGCTAATATAGACAAAAAATCGATATTTTTTGAAAATAGCCTACTATGATAGAAACCAAAAATGCTTTATATTGCATTTTAAAACATAAATAGGTATTATAAATGATAAAGAATGCTAATATAGACAAAAAATCGATATTTTTTTGAAAATAGCATACTATGATAGAAACCAAAAATGCTTTAAACTTCATTTTAAAACATATCTAGGTATTATAAATGATAAAGAATGCTAATATAGACAAAAAATCGATATATTTTTTGAAAATAGCCGACTATGATCGAAATCAAAAATGCTTAATATTGCATTTTAAAACATAAATAGGTATTATAAATGATAAAGAATGCTAAAATAGATATAAAATCGATATTTTTTTGAAAATAGCCTACTATGATCGAAACCAAAAATTGCCAAAAATGAGGGTTAGATAAATCAACAGTGTCTAATATGAATAATAATGATGTTGTTAGGAGTGAAGTTCAGCAATATAGAATCAATTTAGATTTTCTTGGGTAACTCATTGCATAATCCTTCTCGAAATTCAAACACAGCCACAAACACAATTACATCTTCAACTGATGTTCAGCAACAATCAACATCAGATGAAAATAATATAAACCAACAACCTCCCAGACGTTTTTCAAAAATCCTAAAGCCAGTGCAAAGGTTCGGGAATTCATAAGAGAAGGAAGATGTAAAATAATAGATCAAAGTGATCAAGGAAAAAAAAATAAAAAGGAAATCAGTCGATATACTCGTAGAGAAACGAAAAGTTGTTTTCAATTTATTCAAATAAAAAATTGGATAATTAAACACAGAACCAATAGATTTACACGTGAAAACGGTGTAAATATAAAAAGTCATTTTCTCACATTTTAATAAGCATAACGCCATCGTATGTTTGATAGATGCATGCGTTTCTATCACATGTTGCCTAAGTGTTAGGGAATTAAAATACTGAAAAAGCAAGAATGTAATATAAAGTAAGAATTCAAATTTTCATGGTCAATTATTAACGAATAATAAAGATTCTTAAAACTGTAAATAAAAAATATTTCTTTGCATATTATGAAACAATTAATCAATCGTTGAAATACATTATCAATGAGTTTTAAGAACAAAATAATTAAAAAAAGTATTAGTAATTCTTACACATTTACGGGGAAAAAAATCTTCAGAAAATTCATTGAAAACGAAAGTTAAGTTAACAGTACACAAGCATAAGGTGGGTTTCGATTTCTCCACGTTTTGTCTATGAATTTACATTAACAGTCTGCTGTAAAATTGCTTATTTCCAAATACATTTAAACTTTCTCATACATGTCTGCATATCGAAAAATATTTAATATTTACTTTAAATCCATCATCATGATTGCTATAGACACAGCACACATTACTCCCAGACTCAACACTGTCGTTGTCTTACTAGTACTATACTGGTGGCTAGTAAAAAACTTTCATTCGTCCAAGTAGGAAATTAAAGACTTATACGTTAGTTGCTTTTTGAAACTGGGCTAATAAACATCACGTACTTAAATATTCCAAATATATAAACAAAAAATATTTTTTATTATTACATAAATTACTCAATTGATAAGTGCAATAATCATGATATAAATCGTACAATAATAATTAAAAATTAAAAAATAATAATAATTAGGTTAATTAATAAAAAATTTAAAATATTGTGATAAAAAATATTAATAATATGGAATTAAAAGAAGTTTTGCTCACATTATTCTTAATAACATGTGTGAAAAGTCAAAGTTATGGAATTAATGAATATGATGAAAATTCAAATCATACTCAAATAAGTTTTATAAGAGATTATTCAAATCTTACAAGAATTGAGAATATTCTAAATGTTTTCAATATTGAAATTATCGGAAGAAATTGGATTAAAATTAATGATAAAATTAATCGAAAATGTGCATTTAATATGATGCAATATTTGGATGGTCTACAAATAAAAAAGACCTGGGCAATAAAAAGTAAGTTACTAGTTTAATCCTTTAAATAAAACTTACCCAAGTGCATGTGTTGAAATGGGAAATGAGCGAATTTAAAAGAAACGGAAATGAATGAAATTATTACACATTCGAGATTACATAAAAATTACGTGAAATTGTGTTAGTAACTTTCTTAATACTCTCGTACGATTTTTGGATTTAATGATGCATAATTATTATGAGAAATATTATGATGTGCGCAAAACACATTTCAAAACTCTTGGACAAATTGAATCTTTACTAAATTTATTTGTGTCATTGAAACAACTCTTCTAGACTGTTGAAATAATTAACAGGAAAGTTCAATGAATGTGCAGAGAATGAAACCTTACTTAAATAGATAGCACACAGTTTCAAGTTGAAATATATGAATTGATATACAAAATCATGCGTAAATATTTATGCATGAAAAACACTGGCCGTAAATAAAAACCAGTTTAAAATTTCTTTCAAAAGATATTTTTTTGCAAAATCGAAAAAAATACATCAATAAGCTACAAATAAATTACTCAACTTTTAAATTTATTAACATGTAACTTGAATTTACAAATGAGTACAGTACTCGCCACAATTGAGCATGTAACGCGCATTCTCAAGAAATTTTTGCAAGAGAGTTTTTACTTTAATGAAAATCGTTATTGATTGCTATAGCTGATTCTGAGAGCTAATTTCAAAAGCTTAGACAGTGATGATGTTTTGATTTTTGCACAACAAAATTGACCTAAAAATTTTTATGTCAAAATCGTCATTCTGCTCATGGGTTTTTCAACATGTAGATGATCCATAGATTCATATTTAATGTCAATGTTCGATTTTCGAATATGTAAAATTAGTTCCTTCTAATCCAAGTGATATAAAACTTGGCAAAGGCAGTTACAAAGCTTAAGCCTGACATGAATTTGTTATTAAATTGAAGTCCATTGCAGTCACATCAAATCTTTACGAAATGAAATTTTTATTAAACTGTGACATTCTTGACAAATGCTTCGAACCAATCTGATGCCGGTAGTTTAGCATGAATATTTTATGGTTTTTTTGCTCATACATAGCTAGTGTCTTTAAATAGTTATCAATTTTTTTGTAGCTAACAGGTGTAAAACCATTAATCACGAACTGGTATTTTAATATTAGACAAATCGTCATGCCAACATATTTGACACATTAATCAGTCTATTTTTGGACAATATCTACTTAAGCTTATCTATTAATTGAATTATCAAATAAATAAATTCAAAATTTTAAATTCCTATATAGTAGATCATCTTACTGTCAAGCTCGACTGAGATTTCATAAACAAATGCATCAAATTCCATTTGTGTAACAAAATGCATTACAAATGAACAAAACTCGACAGTATTGCTGTGAAATCATTTAGTACGTTGCAAGCTGCCCAAAGTGAATCAGCAAATGTGCAAGAAAATCTTTAATACAATTGACACACTTACTTCTCTAATTAACGAATATCATAGCCAATCTTACACTCACCGTTTGCATAATGAGAATAAAAATTATGAGTTCATGTTTAATTTCATGCTTGCTTACTGCTCACTAGTAAATAATTTATGAAATAAGTATTATGAAATTAATTTCACAAGTGAAATTGTTGTTACTTATTAATACTGTCACACATCATGTGAATGAACGTTGTTGAGCAAATTGTAATGAAAAAAAAATCAGATTTTTAAAACAATTTAATTCGATCGCCTTATATTCAAACAAAAATCGTCCATTATCCAATTAACAGAATGTTTTGAAATAACTTTATATTAGTCTGCGGTCAATGTTATCAGACGTGTGCTCCAGACGCTTGCTGGAGAAAGTTAATAAATAACATCATTACTTGCACGTTATATAATTATTTAATGTAGAAAAAGATCATATAATCTGCAAAGTAAAGAAGAAACAAGTCAATTGCACTCTCCCTCTCTCTCTCTTCTCTTTTTACTACCACATATGGCAATAATTCAAAGAATTTATCAATGAAGTATTGCGCGGTTATTTTATCATTACTTAATTTTATTTTGAAAGTTAAAAAAAATAAATCTTGCCAAAAAAAAAATTAAAGCACGATGAAGTAAAAGTTTCCTTATCATATCATTGCAAAGTAGTTGTGTACGTATAAATGGCATACAAGAGAAGTAATAAAAAAGAGGTAAAAACACTCATAAATGATTGCAATGAACTCAAAGTTACTTGCCTTTAATGATTCATATTGGTAAACTTGAAAATATTTATTTCACAACGAAATTATCTCAAACTTCAAAACTTCTCGGACTATATGATTGGTGACACTCTGCTGGGTTTTAAAAAATTCAGCACCAAAATGAAACTCTTTCTTGCTCATAAATCAGTTTCGCGACCTTTTTCTGACACTAGGATATCGCAGCACACAGTTTAGTGTTGATGCATGTCCAATACTAGGATGAGATATCTTTTAAGGCAGTACTATAAATAGTTTATTAAGGGATTGACAAACATTCACTTAATTGATAAAAATAAAAAATATTCTTAATATGACACAAAAACAATTTCAGTGGATGATGCATCAAGTGGCTACTCTACGGGATATTTTTGGGGCAACAATTATTGGATTGGTTCAATGGCTCTTTGTCGTAGCATTTACAAGCATGATGAGAGTCATCATTACAGAAAGCAATCATCAAATGTAGGTCTTACATTTATAAATGGCAATACAGCACATGTACAAATGAAACATGAAAACCCACCATTTTTGCCGAGGTTCAGTGTCCTGAGATTAATTCTTAGTGATCCTGATATAGCACCAAATGTAAGTATTGATTGCTTTCTGAATACTTCATTTAGATCAAACATTTTAATCGTTCACTTAGCCACGAACTATTCATGTGGGAGTATGTCTACCGACATCATGTGAAAAGGACGATATTTTTGTAATGACTGATTTTGCAAGAGAGGCAAATGAGACGAAATTAATTAAGTTAGATGATATCAGAATACCAAATGCTGATGGATTTACTCTATGGAAAGATTCGACATTTATTACAATGCTGTAAGCACGAGAAAAAGATCTATTGACTTTATCTATATAAATTTTCTCAAATATTTATAGTACAGTCACACTTGTTGTTGGTATATTTATTGTATGGGGTACAGCTTATGATATTTTACTGAGGAAAAAAGCTAAGCAGAGACGGCAAGCTAAATCCTATTCGAAAGATTTGCATTCAGACTCTTCAGGGTTGAATTGTACGACTTATGACTTGACATCCGCAATTACTGATAAAAGTAAGAGTAATTGCGTTGGAATTGGAATTCCAACTTCGGGTATAAATAATAATAATTCTGATGAGAATTTAGCTGCAGAACCGAGTGCTGTTGATGAAGATAAATTGCGTATGTAAACGAAAAAAAAAAGGTATTGAATAATTAGTATAAGCACGTATATGTCTATTTACATTACAGCAATTTATGAACAGCTCCTTTTATCATTTTCCTTGGTTACAAATTTCAAAGCAATTTGTGACAAAGAAGTTGGGAGCGATACAATATCCTGTATTCATGGAATCCGGGCCTTTTCAATGGTTTGGATTATTCTTGGACACACATGTATTATTGCCTTTAAATACTCAAACAACATGGAGTTGAGAAAAGTTGTCGAGCAACAATTCTTTTTTCAAACAATTACCAATGGAGCATTCAGTGTCGACACATTCTTCTTCATTAGTGGATTTTTGGTGTCGTTTATTTACTTCAGGTTGTTTTATTATTAATTCTATAAAAGCTTCAAATATAATTAGATATGTGGTTTTTGTAGATCGAATGCCAAAGGAAGTTTGGACAAATTATCAAAAGGAGTTAATGAATTTACTTCAGGTGTTATGCATTTTGGGGGTTTAGTTTGCTATAGATTCATAAGACTCACAGCTCCATACATTTATACATTGGGTCTTGTCTCAGTAACGATGAAATATTTTGCCAGTAACTCAGTCTTTGATCCACCAACTCATGATCATGTAAGCAGCTCAAAATTAGCTTTATGGACTAGCTTTATAATTTTATCTTTTTTTCCAGATTAATTGCCCCAAATATTGGTGGAGAAATATTCTTTACATCAACACTTTATTTCCCGTACAAGATATGTGCATGCTTTGGAGTTGGTATTTAGCCAACGATACTCAATTTTACATTATTGGAGCCATCATACTAATTATAGCTATTAAGCATTTCAAATTTGCGGCTACAACTTTAACTGTTTTTCTTTTGTCAGCATGGATTACAACAGGTATTTCTTAAGAAAAATAATTTTTATTGCAAGTTGTTAATTTGTTACTTCTTTTATAGGTGTCATTGCCTATAGAAACAATCACATTCCAAATACGGATGATCCTTTGGCTTTATTTGATAAAATTTACGATAAACCTTGGACGAGAATTGGTCCATATTTGGTCGGAATGATTGTGGGCTGGATTCTATTTAAAACCAACTGCAAAATTAAGTTCACAAAGGTAATTGCTGCATGTTTTACATGAACTTTGCTTATCTCTCGATTTTCAAGTTCATCAGCATTGATATTCATAAATCAATCGATAATTAACTCATGATATGTACTAGATTTCAACAAGAATTCTCATGATTGTATTATAATTAAATAATTATTTTTTTTTCTCAAGGCTCAACTTGTAACTGGATGGTCTTTGTCGATTGGTACACTTTTGTATCTCCTCTACGGATTATTCAAAGTCGAACTATCAAAATTTAGTGCTGCAGCATATAGTTCTTTAAGTCATTCAGCATGGGCAATGGCACTAGCTTGGATAGTCATTGCATGCTCAACTGGCCATGGAGGCGTTGTTAATAAATTTTTATCGGCGACATGTCTTTATCCTTTTTCTAGAGTTACCTATTGCGCATACTTAGTACATCCTATAATTATTCGAGCCTTTGCATTAATAAATGATGCACCAATTCACATGGGCGTCAACTCTGTGGTAAGTTAGTTGTTGCTTCATTTACTTATAGATAATTCTATTATGAAATTACTTTTTGTCGATGATGAAATAATGTTTTTTTTTTTTACCTTAATTACCATAATTAAATACTGATGTTACTGATGACATTACAGCCATCAATCATTTTTATTGTTTCATCAAAAACTTTTTTATTCCATAATAATTAATGAAATTTCTATAATTTTCTTACTATAGATGACCATATTCATGGGACAAACTGTTGCATCATATCTTTTATCATTCATAGTTTCATTAGCATTTGAAGCACCAGTCGTAACTATGTTGAAGATCTTGGTACCAAATAAAAAGAATAATATAATTTATAAGGACACTTCGTCATAGAAACTTTTCGAAATATATTTTCGGGTCCACGTTTTGCATATTTACTAAAACCAAAAATATTTTGAATTTATGCAAACCGAAGATCTTTTACAATTTGTAATATTTTTTGTATTTTATTATTTAATCGGTTGCACTTTTTTAAAGGAATGCATTCTCAAAGGTTTTATCATTTGCAGATTTTAAATTATTTGAAATTGGAAACCAGAGTCAATTTAATGATTTAAATTGCAATAAAAATTAAAAAAAAAAAATATTGTGATAAATGTGTCCGAAGTCAATTACCATGTATAAATTTTATTCCTTAATTTTTAAATTCTTGTATTAATGTATGTTTAAGTTAAGACAATGCTGTTGTCAGGATTTAAATTTAAACCCACACATTTATTGTAAATTTCATTTGTTAATATTCAATTCCATAAGATGGTGTCTTTACTTTTCATATTGTCGTCATATTTCATTGCATGCTTAATGTTATTCCCTCGATTCAATCCAATGAAATCACAAAAAAAATTAAAAATAAGAATGATAATAAAGACGATCATGACAGCAGCAGAAAATAATGATGAATAAAAATCAAGCAGTTGATCTTAAATTTAATTAAAAATAATCGTATTTTCAAATTTCAAAAACACGACTTACGTACCTTTTAAAAGTAAGCGAAAACTAGGAAATTTGCTGGCTATAAAATGCTGAAAATTTGCAGTATTTTTGGAACAAAAAGCCATCATAAAGGCACCTAAAATCACACAATAATATATTAAAATATTAATTTAATGAGACTCGAAATCGAGAGAATCTGCAAGGAACGAAAGAAGACAAGCATCCCATATTATTAGGGTTACCATCTAATTTTCATGAAAATACAGGACTTTTGGTAAATTTTTTCGAAAAATACAGGACATAGAGTAAAATTCGAAAATTAACGGAAATTCTCGTGAAAAAAATACAGGACCTGGAACAAAGTTTTCAAATTTATACAGGACAGGGTTTTGAAATACAGGACTGTCCGTTGTAAAACTACGCAGATGGTCACCCTACATATTATGAACTAATTATTGATCCTGATGAATCCATGTTATCAACTAATCCGAGACAGAATTATATACTGAGAATAGACTTAACAACATCAGCAGTACCACGATGACTCAGAAATAATTATGTCATGTAATCATGCTTAAAAATCTCAATAAACAATTTTTAAATAAAAATCGCAAACTGTTGCGTAAATTATTGATGAAACCAACCTATGTTCGTGTGCTTTTTTTTATATTCACACCGTTTTCACGTGTGAATCTATTGGTTTTGTTCAGATTGAAAAATCAGTTTTTTGAATTTTGTGAGGATATGGAGCAAAAAAGCTTAAAATGTTCAGAGATGAACAGAGATGTTTGTGCTTTAAATTTCACATCTTTTGCAAACAACAGATTTCAAATTGGTTGGGGCATTGCTGAGAAAATCGCAAAATATGCTTTCTGTAAGCAAGCAAACAAGCAAACAAGTAAGTTAATCAGCAAGAAATCTCAATAACGAGACATTGAAGAGATTTCTAGTTTTTACATTTGATCCGTGCTGCTCTATAGAAGAGCTGTATTGCTTTTAGGCAAGGTAGGAACAGCCGTTGCTTCAGAAAAAGCAAAATACTTTCCTTTCTAACGAATTTTTCAAATTAAAAGTTCATTGTGATTTTTTTTAAATGAAACTTTGGATGAAAAAACATTTTTTGAGCAAAGAACCAAGTAGGAAATACATTTTCAATTTTGGACTAGGGGCGACCTTAGTCAAAATCAATTTTGTCACTTTTTTCTTCGAGGGTTTATCCAAATGGTTTGAAACTTTGCATAAATATTCTAGTGCTTAAAATAAATACAAATAGAACATCCTAAATTTTTTTTTTTGAGCAAAGAACCAAGAAGGAAATACATTTTCAATTTTGGACTAGGGGCGACCCTAGTCAAAATCAATTTTGTCACTTTTTTCTTCGAGGGTTTATCCAAATGGATTGAAACTTTGCATAAATATTCAAGTGCTTAAAACGAATACAGATAAAACATCCTAAATTGTTTTTGAGCAAAGAACCAAGTAGGAAATACATTTTCAATTTTGGACTAGTGGCGACCCTAGTCAAAATCAATTTTGTCACTTTTTTCTTCGAGGGTTTATCCAAATGAATTGAAACGTTGCATAAATATTCAAGTGCTTAAAACAAACTCAAATAAAACATCTTAAAATTTTTATGAGCAAAGAACCAAGTAGGAAATACATTTTCAATTTTGGACTAGAGGCGACCCTAGTCAAAATCAATTTTCTCACTTTTTCTTCGAGGGTTTATTCAAATGGATTAAAACTTTGCATAAATATTCAAGTGCTTAAAACAAATACAAATAAAGCATTTTAAAATTTTTTTGAGCAAAGAACCAAGTAGGAAATACATTTTCAATTTTGGACTAGTGGCGACCCTAGTCAAAATCAATTTTCTCACTTTTTTCTTCGAGGGTTTATCCAAATGGATTAAAACTTTGCATAAATATTCTGCTACTTAAAACAAAATCCAAATGAAACATCCTAAAATTTTTTTGAGCAAAGAACCAAGTAGGAAATACATTTTCAATGTTGGACTAGAGGCGACCCTAGTCAAAATCAATTTTCTCACTTTTTCTTCGAGGGTTTATTCAAATGGATTAAAACTTTGCATTAATATTTAAGTGCTTAAAACAAATACAAATAAAGCATTTTAAAATTTTTTTGAGCAAAGAACCAAGTAGGAAATACATTTTCAATTTTGGACTAGGGGCGACCCTAGTCAAAATCAATTTTGTCACTTTTTTCTTCGAGGGTTTATCCAAATGGTTTGAAACTTTGCATAAATATTCAAGTGCTTAAAACAAATACAAATAAAACATCCTAAATTTTTTTTAAAAAAGAACCAAGTAGGAAATACGTTTTAAATTTTGGACTAGGGGCGACCCTAGTCAAAATCAATTTTGTCACTTTTTTCTTCGAGGGTTTATCCAAATGGATTGAAACTTTGCATAAATATTCAAGTGCTTAAAACGAATACAGATAAAACATCCTAAATTTTTTTTGAGCAAAGAACCAAGTAGGAAATACATTTTCAATTTTGGACTAGGGGCGATCCTAGTCAAAATCACTTTTAAAATTTTGTTGAGCAAAGAACCAAGTAGGAAATACATTTTCAATTTTGGACTAGGGGCGACCCTAGTCAAAATCAATTTTGTCACTTTTTTCTTCGAGGGTTTATCCAAATGGTTTGAAACTTTGCATAAATATTCAAGTGCTTAAAACAAATACAAATAAAACATCCTAAATTTTTTTTAAAAAAGAACCAAGTAGGAAATACGTTTTAAATTTTGGACTAGGGGCGATCCTAGTCAAAATCACTTTTAAAATTTTTATGAGCAAAGAACCAAGTAGGAAATACATTTTCAATTTTGGACTAGAGGCGACCCTAGTCAAAATCAATTTTCTCACTTTTTCTTCGAGGGTTTATTCAAATGGATTAAAACTTTGCATAAATATTCAAGTGCTTAAAACAAATACAAATAAAGCATCTTAAAATTTTTTTGGACTAGTGGCGACCCTAGTCAAAATCAATTTTCTCACTTTTTTCTTCGAGGGTTTATCCAAATGGATTAAAACTTTGCATAAATATTCTGCTACTTAAAACGAAATCCAAATGAAACATCCTAAAATTTTTTTGAGCAAAGAACCAAGTAGGAAATACATTTTCAATGTTGGACTAGAGGCGACCCTAGTCAAAATCAATTTTCTCACTTTTTCTTCGAGGGTTTATTCAAATGGATTAAAACTTTGCATTAATATTTAAGTGCTTAAAACAAATACAAATAAAGCATTTTAAAATTTTTTATAGCAAAGAACCAAGAAGGAAATACATTTTCAATTTTGGACTAGGGGCGACCCTAGTCAAAATCAATTTTGTCACTTTTTTCTTCGAGGGTTTATCCAAATGGATTTAAACTTTGCATAAATATTCAAGTGCTTAAAACAAATACAAAAAGAACATACCAAAAATTTTTTGAGCAAAGAACCAAGTAGGAAATACATTTTCAATTTTGGACTAGGGGCGACCCTAGTTAAAATCAATTTTGTCACTTTTTTCTTCGAGGGTTTATCCAAATGGATTAAAACTTTCCATAAATATTCAAATGCTTAAAACAAATACAAATAAAACATCCTAAAATTTTTTTGAGGAAAGAACCAAGTAGGAAATACATTTTCAATTTTGGACTAGGAGCGACACTAGTCAAAATCAATTTTGTCACTTTTTTCTTCGAGGGTTTATCCAAATGGATTAAAACTTTGCATAAATATTCAAGTGCTTAAAACAAATACAGATAAAACATCCAAAATTTTTTTTGAGCAAAGAACCAAGTAGGAAATACATTTTCAATTTTGGACTAGGGGCGACCCTAGTCAAAATCAATTTTCTCACTTTTTACTTCGAGTGTTTATCCAAATGGATTGAAACTTTGCATAAATATTCTAGTGCTTAAAACAAATACAAAAAAAGCATCCTAAAAATTTTTTGAGCAAAGAACCAAGAAGGAAATACATTTTCAATTTTGGACTAGGAGCGACCATAGTCAAAATCAATTTTGTCACTTTTTTCTTCGAGGGTTTATCCAAATGGATTGAAACTTTGCATAAATATTCAAGTGCTTAAAACAAATACAAATAGAACATCCCAAAAATTTTTTGAGCAAAGAACCAAGTAGGAAATACATTTTCAATTTTGGACTAGGGGCGACCCTAGTCAAAATCAATTTCGTCACTTTTTTCTTCGAGGGTTTATCCAAATGGATTGAAACTTTGCATAAATATTCAAGTGCTTAAAACAAATACAAATAGAACATCATAAATTCTTTTTTTGAGCAAAGAACCAATTAGGAAATACATTTTCAATTTTGGACTAGGGGCGACCCTAGTCAAAATCAATTTTCTCACTTTTTCTTCGAGGGTTTATTCAAATGGATTAAAACTTTGCATAAATATTCTAGTGCTTAAAACAAGTACAAATAAAACATCCTAAAATTTTTTTGAGCAAAGAATCAAGTAGGAAATACATTTTCAATTTTGGACTAGGGGCGACCCTAGTCAAAATCAATTTTCTCACTTTTTTCTTCGAGGGTTTATCCAAATGGATTGAAACTTTGCATAAATATTCAAGTGCTTAAAACAAATACAAAAAGAACATCCCAAAAATTTTTTGAGCAAAGAACCAAGTAGGAAATTTATTTTCAATTTTGGACTAGGGGCGACCCTAGTCAAAATCAATTTTCTCACTTTTTTCTTCGAGGGTTTATCCAAATGGATTTAAACTTTGCATAAATATTCAAGTGCTTAAAACAAATACAAAAAGAACATCCCAAAAATTTTTTGAGCAAAGAACCAAGTAGGAAATACATTTTCAATTTTGGACTAGGAGCGACACTAGTCAAAATCAATTTTGTCACTTTTTTCTTCGAGGGTTTATCCAAATGGATTGAAACTTTGCATAAATATTCAAGTGCTTAAAACAAATACAGATAAAACATCCAAAATTTTTTTTGAG